CCAAATTCATTTGTGGGACCTGTGGAGTGGACTACTAGTCTGGATCTGGAGGGGCTGTGTGGTGGTGGACGTAGGCAACAAAATAAACACATCCTCATGGCAAGAAAACTTGTCATCATCTAAAACTTAGAAGCTGCCATTCACAGAGACGGGGAGTACCCTGTTTGCCTGCTCAATCATGTCTCTTTCCGCGCTTGAGTATAGTGTAAAGAACCGCCCACATATTGTAGTTCATGTTCTCTCACAGATGCAGTTCACATGGTTCCTGGTTGCTCCCTTTTAGATCCACATCCATAACTCAAACCTACATACCGAGACTTCAACCCTGAAATCTTCTAACATCTGCTGGACCTGGGGCTCGTAGTGGCATACGGCCGTATCCTTGGAGGCCAAACCTGCCAAGGCTGAGGGCACCATTTTCCGTGCAGCCCGAGGAAGCTCAGAAGCCACTATGCGGACCATCCGGGTGTTGTGCCATTTGCTTGCCTCATCGGACTACGGTTGGGTAAAAACAGAAAGCCTTCCATCGTGTTGATGGCGCTATTTTCCTTTGTAGAACATGTACGCATTCTCTGTGGAGGAACTCAGCCCCAGAACCCTGCACGCTATGGAATTCGATGGGAGACCCCAATGGAAGAGCTGCCCATGAGCAGCGAAAAGGAAGGCAATCGCCTCACGGGCTCAGGGCTTTGAACTGGCTCCTCCCAACCTGTGAGAATACTCTTCTATAGCAATCCCGAACTCCAACTCTCTGACCGTCATATGATACTTGTGGGATCCGGGATTAACGGGCATGATTGCCCATCAAACGTGCTTCCACTAGCGTCTGAAAACAAAATTCAGCGACAATTTGATGAGGAAAGCCAGATGTACTACACTATGCCAGACTCAAGAAAAACGGTTCCCTCTCAAGATATGGCGGTATGTTTCTCAAGAATGACCCGGGAGGATGTCACACACGGATTTCTTATTGCTCTGTTGCCGCGAAATTTAAATGGCGGTGCCTCAATGGTCAATCTATCTTCTGCAGTGAGCAGTGTATACTTTCTCTGGACAATGGACACCAAGTATTTATCCTTAGTAAGAAGGTATATGCGGTACAGTCCAAGAATGATGGGATGTTGCAAAGCTGCACAGGCTATGTATACTTGCACTATTGCGCGGCAACACAAAATTACGCACCAGACCAACCTCTTGCTTGATTCAATGCGCCATTCCCTTTCCCTGGGGCCTCCACCCACATCCTTCGCCGAAACAAAGGCTCCAAATCTTAGCCGACAGCTACAGCCTAGCTGTCAGCTATCCAAAATGACGATCATGGCTTCCAAAGTCTCCTCCTAACTTAGACACCGAAGCCTGAACTTCGAAACCCTGAGGCCCCAAACCCTGAATCAGGGTTCTAAATCAAATCCCTGGTGCCTACGGCAAAGCGCTCGCCGTCGGGTGCCCAAGCTGCACAAAGCGCTGCCCCTGGGGACTGCACTCGACCGGAAGGCAGGGAAGACATGGCTTGTTTTTTGGGTGTGGGGATTTGGGATACGTAGCTTGCAGGGCTATTGATTTGGAGCGTGAGGACCTTGTCGGTGTGTTGGCAGGGTCTTCGCGGGGCTAAAGGATTATGATCTCATGAGTCCAGGATCTGGGCTGTGGGGCTAAAGCGTCCAAGGCCCGTGAGTGAACTCCTGAATTAGATCGGCAACATACGAAGCTCTCTAGTAAGGCATGGTGTAAAGGGGCAGGACACTACGTAAAGATTCTATGAAGTGCAGGAGAGGTAACTTATGTATATTGAGACATGCAGTCTGAGCGAGATCCATACTTGGAACATGCCATGGAGTAGTCAGCAGTCCAAGGCGGAGGTCTTCATACGGTCAGAGAAACATGCTCAGTTGCTGGAGGTTGCCCTCTAAGAAAAAATCCATCTGCGCGGGTTTGAGTTTCGGAAGCCGCCATGTGGCCTCAAAAAGGAATTTGGGGCTTTGGATTCAGCAGACCTTCAGTCTTGCGTTGCCAAGGATTTCCCTGTGCATGCGGCTTGCTCAGGTTTGCACCGGCTTTGCACATTTGCAGTGGGGGCAATTCGAATGTCAATGTGGTTCTAGCACATGACAGCCATTGTCTTGCAAGAGCCATGCGTCCATCTGATTTGCTGTCATTTGCTGTCGTCTGCGTATTCGCTGGGTGGTGAAAAAATTGCGTGCCCTTGCTGGTAGCTTCTCAATGATCTCGACTCACTGTGCATGTTCAAGCCCATCAGTGCCAGGGCAGAACAGACACTGAGCGCTTCACGGGGCGCTTTCAGCTCTACATTGACAGACCTTCGCAGCTGCATCATCGATGCGTTGGCAGCAGCGCTATACGGCCATGAGCTTCCACTGAGATGAACGTGTTCTAAGATGAAAGTATTGCAAGTACAAGCACTGCCTTCCTGCAACTCGATCTTCTGCCTATAGCACAGAATCGAATACACGATATGCATGGCACAACCAATATGCCACCCAAACCAGTGCTTTGGCCAGATCATGGTTGCAGAATATCAACAAGCCTGGACTGGGAAGCAGGCTTCCAATTTCCATCCTCAGACCGCTCCCATACAAAAGCCGTCCGGTCCTGACTCCAACGCATTCCGGATCAAGGCCGTGTCTGCTTAGTATAGTTCATTATGGATCAATGTAGCACATCCTGAATCCTGACCACTGCAAGTGATTGCTACCTGAGAATCATATGCTGGAGCCCCTGTGCCCAACTTGGGCACCCTGAACCCTGACTCACCCTGGCCCTTACGCTGGACACCGTAGTGTTCAGCTAACCAGCGCAGCCAAACAAAAAACAATTCGCCTCATGCGTAAAATCCCTAGTGCAATGAAGCCCCATGTAACTCTGATATCCAGGCACTAACTGCTGATCCACTCAACTTTGAGGCTATAAGCCTCGGATGCGGATATCAGCTTGCCGTGGCAGGACCAGTCCAAGCCTGTGAGTGTTCAGGCTGACTGGGACTTGTTGGGACTGTTCCACTGCCACTGTGATGCTAAGCCTGTCCATGAATATGATCACTACTGAGTAAGTAGTAACTACTGTATCATGGCTGTCCTTATGATGACAGTTGCTAGGAGTCATCTGCATCTGGGTATGAAGGTCTTGTGCAGGACTGAGGAGCTCCAAGTAGACCCTCCTGGTAGTCTTGGAAAAAGACCCATAAACTCTACATCTCCCTATACAACCGCTGTATTTACTGTTGCAGTACTTACACCTCATTTGCTTTGTCTGTCCCGGGCCTGTGACCCTCTGAGAGTGCTTCTGCAGCACTTGCGTCCGCTGGTACTGCAACAGTTCTGATTCTGCGGCCACTGCTTTTGCCATATCACTGTACCCACACAGCACGACACCGCACACGCTGCATGCCGGCATGTCTGTGCTTCATGTGTATGGCGCAAACATCTCTCAAAAGAGCTCCTTCTCCGAAACCAGCTCGAAGATGAAGATCTCTTCAGTGTTGGGACCTTGCAACCCATTGCAATCCCACCAAGGAGAATGTCGGACATCAGACCCCTTGAGACTCCCTGAGTTGCTCCAGGCCCCTTCAAGGGCCCACATCCGTAAAAAAAGCTTCTTTGTTTTTCGCAGTTGCATTAGGAGAGCATTATGAGAGTGAGGTCATCCCATTGCTGCACAGGCCGAGGTGCAGAGAGCCAGGAGCTGCTCATCCTGCGACACTGCCTAAGTTCAGGTTGCCCCTGAGGCCAGCCTATACAGTTTGTCTAGGTTCTAGGCACGGTGAGATGCGATTCAGTAGGGCCTGCTATAGGGATTCATTCCTCCATTCCCTACTCACGTCGAATAGAATTCCCCAGAACCAAGAGTGGTCAGTCATTGGTTTGGCTTCGAGGTGTAACAGACATTTGGGCCGCCAACCAGCTGTTTGAGAAACTGCCGTCTGATCACTGAGGTTCCGTCATGGCTGCTGACCACTTCAACATCAGTGTCCTGGCGCGCGCGCGCGCCACCCGGCACAACATCTTGAAGCACTTTGGGAGAAACAGGTGTATAGGAATCCAGAACCTTCTCATTAACTTGATCCAGCAACATTATGGCAGATGAGCTACCCAAACCTCTTGATGTCCTCAAGCCGTCGGGCGAGTATTGCCGAAACCATGCCGGGCACGGTGACTGAGCCTTAGATATTATTGGTTCTTACTGCAGCGTGCCTCCCTGAGTCTCGTCTCTTCGTAGCAAACATGGCAACAAGCCCCAGACTCACCAGCCCGCTGGCATGGCACAGGTGTCTGCTGAGACAGCTTAGCTATGAAAAGATCTTAGGCTGGTTTACATGCAGGAATTGAGAGGGTCGGCTTCACACGGCATTTACCGAGCTGGCTTTCAAGCAGTGGTTGATGATGTGCTTGTTAGGGCAGCTTGCCCCGTTCAATGCCTACGGGAGTCCAGGCACCTAGACCTTTTGTGTACATCGTGTATGCGTGTGCTGCTGCTTGCTACCAGTATCGCTGCTTGCTATCAGTGCTGCTTGATCAACAAGAGCAAACAACCGTTGCCCTACGCGCATAGCAGAGCGAATGACTCATCTACTGCTTGCTGCTGGTCCACGACTCCATCAACTTGTATATATGGTCAGCCACTTAAAACGTGCACCCCAGACCCTGTCTGGAGCTCTTCAACTTGCTGTCCCTTGCCCCCTGGCGCCTGATCGGAACAGCCAACGCTGCATGGGACTGCAGCTGAGGACCTGCAGACAGGTCGTTCTCGTAAGGTCAAAGAGTCCTCGCAGTTCTCAACTTTGTAAATGTCATGGATACAAACAAAACAGCGGCCCAAGCAGCGAATAACGTGCCGCTTGAGAAGTTCAGAACAGTAAGGTAACCACATCTTCAGAGATGAACGGCTATCGTGGAGGCTGCTCCTCACTTGCTTGACTGCAAGCAGCGATACACTTCTTTCAGTCATGCCACTCATCTCGGACATGAAGCGCTGCCATTTTCCGCCTATCCGCTTTGGCCACTCAGGCTTGATGCTACTTCCACTTCAGACGCAGAGGAAGCAGATGAGGGGGAGGAACCTCGCTGAAGCAAGCCAGTCCAAGTCAAGGGAGAGATCTGGAACTCGGGATCTTCCTTATGTTCCTGCACATCATGCGTACGCAAATACCTAGCCACCTTCTTGCATTGATGCACATAAACGTGTATGCATATGTAACATACATACATACGTACATACATGCATGCATGCATGCATGCATGCATACAGACAGACAGACATGCATGCATACATACATACATACATACATACATACATGTATACATGTCTGTCCGTATATGCATATCTACGTGTTCCCGCAACATGACGCTTATTCTAAGGGGCAGAACAGGATGGACATGATTGGGAGTCGCTTTACAATAGCGGTGCCCCATGAAATATGCGGTGTATACGCATTATTAGAGGATGAATTATGGGGGTTCCTCATGCGGCTATGTTGGGGCAAGTTTGAGAAACTCCCAACCCTAAACCCTAAATCCCCTTGTCGACCGCAGCCGCCTCCTTCTTCTTGCGCCATATCCTAACAGCCACGCAAATGCACTTACTTTCTGGTGGTGGGTCGGGAATGCAGGAATGGATCTCTATAGAAGTCCGAGAATATTAATTGCTGATATTCCCTATATCCCACGTGGCTTTAGCTTGTGTCCCAAAACACCACTAGCGAGTTCAGTTCGTGCCAAGAACTCATGACGGTGCATAATGGGCCAAACAACTTGAGAAGTACATGGAAATCCTTGGAACTGGTTCCTTCTTGGGAACCAAGGTTTTAATTCTTGATTGGCTTGATTGGACTTTAGTATGGCAACACAAAACTAACAAAGCCAACCATGACTCAGGTGAGCTGGTTGCCTCAACAAAAGGGCAAAGGTCCAAGGTCAGAGCCTTTCGCTTGCGGCTTTGCTGCTCGCGCTCTTTTCTGGCCTGCAGTCGGAGCAACGGCACCACAGGCTTCCTCTCAAAATGCTCAGTGAATCGAATAAGAAGGATTCAGAAAAGCTCTTGACAGGTAGGTTGGTGATTCTGATGCCAGCCCGGAACGCAATGCTTGGAGACCTGAGACCGAACACCACGCCTTCTTTTCCAGCTTGCGCTGCTTCTTCAGGCGCTTTTTGGCCCGCCTGGCATCCGCGTGAACCGGGGGCTCCACCCCATCCGTTTTGCAGGTTGTACATGGGATGCATGCAGGGCCCGCCTTGGGAAAACCGTAGTCTCTATAGTAGTGCGGTTGCAGAAGCCTCAACCTAAGAAGGTCTGCCTCTGTGGAACCGGTCTGAGGGAGTTAATGGTTGAGGACTGGTCCCCGTACGCTGTGCACTTGAGGTTGAAGCTTTTATGGATATGCCGCCATACTGTTGATAATAACTGCTACCTGGCCCTTAGGGAAGTTAAGACATGAAAGCGAATTTCTTCTGATCGAGCTTTGCTTGGCATGGGATACACCTTCAAGATATTAGAACCACGGGCTAGGCACACGCGGCAAAACTCATGACCCAGCCCAGGCTTCCGTCGTAATCCAGCACGCCCCCTACAATCGTTTGAAAATCCAGGAGAACCGACATAGCATGTCTATGTATCCTTTTAAAGGCTTTTGACAGAATCTCTGGCCGGCAGCGCTTCTTCTCCTTTTTATCCTTCTTGGCCGCCTTCTTGGCAGCCTTGGAAGCTGCCTTCTTGGCCTGACGACCATGGAGTTTTGGGCTCACATTGCATGCCTTGGGGCTATGGTCTTTAGGTTTTATGTCCATCCGGCTTTACGGGGTTAGTGCGGATAAGGTTGTGGTATCTTTTCGTTGCAAGTAGGTTGCCCCAATTGGCCCCAATTGTGAGGGCTCCCAAATGCAGGGCTTCTTGATGCTGTGTCTTTTGGAGGTCTGAAGGAGTCCCTGGGATAGAGACACATCCAAAGAGAGCTTCCATTAAAAAAGGTAGATGCCGGCATAGTATAATCTTATGATAGGGACTTCTTGGAAGTATTCTTAAAGTTGGTTAAGAAAGCAAGGCAGCCCACTATCTCATCATGTCATCATGTGCTGAATGTATGGTCGTACCGAGCAGGATAAGCATGAGCAAATGATCGCAAACATATGCACCGTGATAATGCGGGACGATTGCCATCAACTTGTAGCACCAAGAACCATACTTGCGCTGGCACAAAAACATGATAGCTTCAGCCTGGTGTCAGTTCTCTACTCGCAGCAAAATTGAGAAAGAGGATCCCCGGATAAGCATTCTTTCCTTGCCAACGATGCTAACCCAGTACCCCGAGTAAGGCATATTGCGAAACGTTGGTGTGTATCGATAATGGAAATTATAGCAGACCATGGGACGTTACCTCACTGTAGCCTGGGTTTCCCTACTTAGCTTACACCATAAAAAAAATCACATATTCCAGTGCTCACTTCAATGTCCGTCTCCCCTTCGATTTGATTGTCCATGGTTGGCTCTGGTGCAGTGCTCCCCGACCTAGAAACCCTCAACCCTGCATAATTCATACGTGTACATACATACATGAACCTATATATATATATGTGTGTGTGTACATACATGTACGTATATATATATATATGTATACATACAAATTACACACAGTCCTAAACTCTAGCCCAAAAACTCTATTACAAGATTTGGATAGCCGTACAGGTCCGATGAGCTGGGGAGCCACCCCGAGGTTCGGGCACGCTTCGCTTCAATCTTCTTTAGAACCTGCTGGCCGGCATGGACTTTAGGGTTTGGAGTACCCTAAACTCTAAACCCTTGATGTAGCTCCGATTTGGGGGTTGATGTACATAGGGTTCTAGGGTTTTTGCCTGGACAGCTTCAGGGAGTGCTCAAAAAGCAAAGCAAGCAAGGCATGGTAACTTATTCGTTGCTAGTGTGGCTGGTCTTCCAATTCGCATGTTCTTGCCGGCTCGGCTCCCTTTGCATTACAACTTATAACAACTTCTCCTCGTAGACTGTCGTTGTGACTATGACGAGTGGTCTTCATTCTTGTTGCTGCCCTTGTATCCGCCTCGGCATGGCTCAGCGTGAAGCTTTGGAGCTCGGCCGTGCAGGGCGCGTTGCCCCGCGCGATCTGGCTGTCTGTGCTTCCAAGCGTCTCGGGGAAAGGGCTTAGGGTTTAGGGCTTAAGGTTCCTAAACTATCCAATGACAGCAGCTTCCTAGATCCTTTCAGGGGCCGCTAGTACAGCAAGCAAATAGACTAGAGGTACTGTATGTTTGAGGCGTGCATGGCTCCCCGCTACAGAAGCACTGAATCTTCCACAAGGCAGGAACGCAGCAATCTGGGACTTCCTCAAAACGTAGAGTTACTTCTGCAGCTAGGAACCTAAGGCCTAGGCGTCTGTTGGATTTGTTAGGGCCCTGTTAGGGGTAGTAAGAGATTTGTTGTTGTCGAGAATTAAACGGCTCACTATTGACAAACACTCATGTATGACAGGAAACATGGCAGTGTCTGAGTGATCGGTCAACTTATCTACATGGCGACGATAAACGTCTGGTGTCATCAAGCAATTGGAAAGCGCTCAACGCCATGCTGACCGACTACGTCAGCTCTTGAAGTCAGAGCTGGGCAAGCAACCATGACAAACAGCAGACCGTCATCGCATGTGCAGCCTGACTGTGAGAATCTCCGGTATATCTTGATCCGCAAATTGTGAGATCGCAGCATGCATTCAAACCTAAGCAACTTCCGACTTAAACAGCGGCTGTTGGGCTTAGCGCTAGCCGCTAGAGCCGCTAGAGGGCTTCAGAATTCTCTGCTGTCCGCAGCTCTCATCCGAATTCCCGTTGGAGCGGTATTGCAAATTGATGACAGGTTTGATACTTCAAGTCAATCTGCTTAAAGACTTGTTTAGCAGCTCTACACACAAGTGACCAGTGGTTAAGGGCTCACCCTTTCAGCCTCGCGCTGTGCTGCAGCCTGCCGTTGCTTTTCAAAACCTTAGCTTCCCCAAGATCTGCACTCCTCCATTCATAGCACCTGTGCTTGGAGCCCGAAAACATAAGACTTGACAGCCCATCATGGTCTACATGGGTAGCGCTTATTTTCTGCTCATTACATTTCGAAGCTGAGCTCTGTGCAGTTGGCAATCACTTTGGAATCCAGCTGCCCGTTCTGCACAAGCTCCTGCGGGAGGGGCGTGACAAGAGCGCTTACGTTTTGCAGAAGGCTATTCCCTCACGGGTACGCCTTTTCCTGGCTCCAGCAGATACCTTGACCTCCACAGGGAGCATATCCTTTGTACTCATGCTGGTGTCATTATTATGGGTATTTCGTGGTACGGCCTCGTTGGGAAACTCCGTGGCAAGCCAGCCCTCCAGGTCATCCGGGCCCTGCAGTCCTGCATCGTTCGCTACCCTTCATATGAGCTAAGTCTAGACTCCTTAAATGGGGTTATATAGGGGATTGTATAGGGAGAGTTGTAGTGGTTTATAAGAGGGATCGCGGGGGTTTAGACTATAGCTCATATGGAAGATTGTTACACGAGAGGGATGCGAATGACGGATACAGGCGATATATTACGTATGGGGTTGTAGACGGGATATTGTCACCAGCTTGGAGAATCAGGTGGACAGGAACTCACAAAATGAATTGCAATTCATCTATGTGGCTTGGGGCTTAGGATTGGAGAATCAAACGAAAGAGAAAATGAACGATGACATGGAGAGGGATGTATATAAGGAGGGCTAGATGGTAGGTTGTCATATTGTCAAAGCGTGGCCCTGTTTGGCGTCCCAATGATAATAAGGCCTCCCAATATAGATGGAAACCGAAACAAGACCTCAGTTTTGACCACCCTTCGTTTCATCACAACTGAAAGGCTTGATGATCTGCGGGGTTGGGGCATAGTGCTTGCGTGATAGGTCTTCATGGCTGAACACCCATCTCCTTGATTACGCCTCAACTCGAGCAGTGCAGGATCAGGACACCACGTAAGGTCCATGAATGCGGGCTCAGCACCCTATTTGTTTGTGCAGAACACACTGCACTACTACCGTGAAGGAAGCAGCTCCCTGAAACGGACGAACCCTGGTCCGGAGGAAGTTCAGGAGCTCTAAGGGTGCAAATGGGAGTGGCCAACTTCTTGTGCAGAAAATGCTGCGGAACCAAGACGGCTATGAGCACTGCAAGGCTGAAGAACCAAAAGATGGATGGATCCCCAAGTGTAGGAAGCAAATTCATGGAATTTGTGAGTAAGCTCCTGGGCCCAAATGAGATGTTGCTTCCCAAGCCCACAGTAACAGCCACATTGATCTTTGCCCCAGTGCCCCCGTATACAAGTTTCGCGATCAGCCTAGTCAGGATCCTCATAGTAGCCCCTATATAGCCCATTATGGTCCAGTTTCTTTTCCAGTCTTTCATTCCCAGCTAACCTGTAAGCAAAGGCTCCTAGCATGCGCGCTGCACGCTCCGCAGCTACCTGAAGGGCCATCAGTTTAATTGCATGGTACAGGGATCTAATCTTTGGCTAGACGCATAGAATCTGGAACTCGAGAAAAACATGGATTTCTTCGTTTTGCCCACCAACTTCAACCAACTTGGAGAATATGACTTCCAGAAAAAAGGGATCTGCGTCTCAAGCACGGGAATTCCAGATACCGCATCTTGCAGGAAGCGACCCGCTGCAGTTGATAACAGTATGTCAAATTCAAATACCACCCCTCCAAAAACAAGCAAGCTCGTCTTGCCAAAAGGATGGGCCCAAAATTTCTTGACCGCCGCATGCTGGTGATAATATCAGGCCTTCGCCACATTTCGAGCCCATGCGTGTGAGGCGACATGCAAACCTCCTCACGCCACCATGTTAGGGCAAATCTGGGAAAGCCATGCGGAAAAAGCGCGGCAGCTGTATCTTCTTGAAAATCAGCATCCTTTAATTCTTAGAACTGGCCTTTGTGTTTGTGTTCTGTTTGCTGCTGCCAATTTCAGCCCTCCTGATGTTGCAGCCACTTGTCATTTACAGCACCAGTATTACCACAGAACATCCTCTGAGTCTGCCACCCCTTGGGGAAATGCCTTTGCCAGCATCTCCAGACTGCGCAGCCGCACCTTGTGTAATGCAGTGGCCGCGCTGCAGTAGAATAGGGGTGAATCAACTCGGGCTCCCTGTCAGGAAACTCCAGAAAGCACGCTGGCAAAAGCTTGAGGGCACACATCCCATGCAATGTGCAAGGACATGCAATTTTAAATTTGTCTTGCTTTTGCCATCCGTATAGGCAGCAGCAAGCTTGCCGTGGTACATTGGTTCTACACACTTCCTATGTAAATGCTCTGCTTACTCCGCAATCGCATCTATTTGACAGGGTTCCGAAACACAACAGAACAGGCATTAACAACTTGACGCACTATACTGCATCGCGCACATGGCCCGTTCGTACACACGCCGCTTTCTCATTCAACCCACTGTAAGCCCTACACCTGCAGAAAACCCATTGCTTATGTCCCCGATGACTGCCACAAAAGGCCCTCATATTGAGACCTTGAAGGTGTCTTTCAAGAAACTCCCGCCTTGAATTCTAAACTGCGGAAACCCCCAACCCTACATCCATCAACCAGTAATGTAACCGCATCAAGAGGTTCCGTAGTGACATACGAAGACCTCTTCTGAGGAGGCCACAGGCGCTGCTGCTGTCCATGCAAGCCTAACATTTATCCAGGGCTTATGGCTCGCTTCTGTTTAGGATTTGGGTTCAGATTTTCTGCTTTGTCAAGAGTCTTAGAGCTTGGCTTGTGGTTTGAGGTTCAGGCTTGGGGTTTAGGGGTTCAGGTCAGGGTTCGGAAATCTGGCTACATGGTGCGTGAATGAAGAGGGTCTGGTCATTCCTACTTGTACATGTGGTATAGTTACATTGTCCTACGCCCAGGAAATTAGTATTGCCATTCTGTCGCGGACCTACTAATCAACAGCCAGAATCTAGGTCTGTGGATTCGAGAGTTTCAAGACTTTTGTGCCACGGAGTCACAGAAAACCATCGCAAGCCAAATGCTCTTGCCTCACTGCCAGCAGTAGCTACCAACGTACCTCTTCTAGCTATTCACGGGGCAACAGTTGGACAGGGCTTCATACCTTGAAAGCTTTGACTTTGCATCTGCAAGTGAACTCCTTAGCCATTCGTGCTGGTACAGTCATGAAGAAAAGGTGCAAGTTCAAAAACGCTGCTTCTTGTGCTTCTCCTCCTTCTTCTCCTCTTTGCCTCTTCCTCCAACTCCTACAGTAACCACTCGCCCTGCCAAAGATGCTTCGATGAACGGGCGGTCTCTCCACCCAATTCTTGGACCACCCTGCCTTCCGCAGTCTTCCCTGACAGAGTCGAACAAGCCCTTGCTGGCCATGGGTCCTAGGGCAGAACACGGCATCAAACCCATGCTGCATGAACGTGCAAGCTTGCTTGTTCAACGAAAGCTGGGGTCCACAAGCTGATGTTGGACAGCGACTCTTCAAGTGCTTCGGAGTAGAGCGAGCTTTGTCCCGTACAGCATGAATAGCAAGGCAGAAACAGAATAATGGCATGCTCTACAAGAGTCCTGCCTTTTAAATTCCGACTGCAACCCATCCCAAAACAACTTGTGCCAAGCTTAATCGGGGAACCCACATTGTTTGGAATCGTCTAGTTGTTGGGGGGAGGCTACGACCAGAACCTTGCTGTACATGAAGTGACTTGCAGGATGGGCGGTCCTTCAGCGGCCAGATGCAAATGCCTGGACAAACAGGCAATCGCCAGGAAGGCAAAGAACTAGAAGCAAAACCACGGCTGCGCGTCACGACTGGAATACTGTTTGCAGATGCCTTTCATACTGGCCATGGACTTGCAATGATCTGACCTGGCAAGCTACTTGAAGAGCACTGGCACTGACTGTCATCGCACACAACGAGGGGTGTTTGCGAGAGGGAGACACGAGTTCAACACCCCAAGCCTGCACCAATTGCCCGATGCTCTTGCGCGGTGGAGTTGCAAAGCATAGCGAAGAGAAGGTCCTGCCAAGCCAAGGATGGGATCTTTGAGAGCTCGGTGTTGGCCATCTGCACGGAAAAGCGTTGTTGCGGCTTTTCCTAATACTGCCTGCAGCTAGCATTTAGTTCATACCACCAAACTAACCCCTATGCAGGCCTGAAGCATTCGGCTTTGGCTCAGAACACCGAATAGAATGGTGGTTTCTGGAGCATGCGTTTCACTACAAGGCTCAACAGAAATTTTGCCGTCCCTGACCTCGACGCTTTTCGCGTGCTC